TACTTTTTACTCTTGGCCTCACAGCCTACATGCGGGATCCGATAACAGCAATCGGTGCAAATTTTAATTCACACGTTAAAAATCAACAGTATTTTTAAATTTGCTATCAAAAGTAAAAAGCGTATATCGAAAAATAAATATATGTTACAATAGGAAAATGACATTACTATAGCCCGTTGTATGCACGCGATCAGGATATCCACTTTATCATAAGCTCATCGCCCAGCCTACGGGCCTCATTGACGCTGTTCAGGTCAAGCCGGTTACTCAACTGCATATCCTGAGTATGTGTAGCGCCCTGTATGACAAACATAGAGATGTCCAGTGTTTCCGGCAACAGCTTATTGTCTTCTAGAATTACCGTGGATCCACGCCAGGGATCAAGCTCGCCGACAGTGTAATATATCTGCGTGGCATTTTGGAGAATACCAAACCACTTGTCATTGTGGCTGGCGACATCCACGGGCAGCGCAATACTGTCGTCAAAGACAGTCTGGCAGTCGGACTCCCATGTATCTGCGGTAATCAGCTGCGAGCGGTAGGATGTAAGGCCGGAGTCTGCCGGCGCTGCAACCTGCCAATCGGCAAACCACGTGCAGGAAATATAATGCCACGAGCGATACACTTGGTTCAAAGAAATATCAACAGACTCGTCACTCTGTCTCATCCGCAGGCGCCCGCTGCCAGTCTTGGATGAGTTGAACTGCATGGGTGGCGTGTATCCATCAACTATAGAAACCAGCGCCATAAGATAAGAGTCCAATGATGCGCGGTAACCATTGAAGAAGCTGCAAATGGTTCTGTCCACCATGTCATTATTTAACATCACCGGCGAGTTCACATTGGACGAGGCAATGTTTGCTAATTGCGCGACAAAATCCTGTGTTGGCATTCCGACAATGCCGAATTTGGCCTGCATTGTATCGATAATTGTCTGGTTGCCAGAAAGCAGAATGGCGTCGAGGTCCTTGACGGCCTGAGCAAATTCATCGCTACAGCCGCGTGTTTCGAGATGCTTGCCGAACGCCTGGTCGAGCTGATAAAATTCACGGTAGCTGTATACTGGGGCCGAAGATGACCAGGCGGCAGTCACCAATTCGGGATATTTGGCGCGCATCCAAGCAGCAATAGCACCGCCGTACGACCCACCGGTGAAAATAACGGTCGAGTTGGTCGAGACATTTGCAGAGGGAAATAATGTTTCTGGACTAGTTTTGGCCGCGCGAATTATCTGGGCAAAATCCTCCAATGTATTGTCCAATGTCAAGTACTTTAAGCTGGAGGCAGACAAGTCGGCCATCGGGTTGGACTGTCCGAAGAAGCGGTGCTCGACAGCAACTAAGATACCATTGGTCGATTCTGCTAACTCTGTGAAGTGCGTGCTGACTGCATACACGTCGCTGAGTTCGGCCTCGCCGGGCGTCAAAATAATAATTGGCCCACCGGGCTTGTAATATTCGTAGTTGACCATGTATTGTTGAGCCCATATGTCTGTGTTGCTTCCAAAGTGGTCGACGGTCTGGTTGAACCAACCCTCGATGGCAGAATTTTCGGAAATGTCTCTTTTAGCGAGGATTTTGACGTTGAAAATAGGACTTGTCAATGCGCTTGTCAGCACGGAAAAAGCTGCTACCAGAATAAGTGTACGAGAAATAGGAATCATCGTAAGTAAAATAAAATAATGGATGGCAGACAGTGGTTGTGGTTGTAGTTGCGGACGTGTATACTAGCTATAAACAAATAATTGCTAAATTAAACAAATATAATATAATAAGACATGTAAGAAATAATAAAAAAGAGTATTAAAACCTGCTAAACACTGTCACCGAGTTAATGAATGGTGGATTAGTTTTTCTTCTACATCACCCAGTGGCCAAAAAAAAACTTGTAGACTTGACAAGATGTAAAAGAAATTTTAAAAAGCACGCGTGTACATTGTACTGAAATAAAAACAAGCCAAACGTTTATAAAAAGGGGGGGGGGTTTAAAAAGAATTTGTTTATTTTGGAATGAGCTTTTATTTATTGGTAGCAGCACCCTCTCAAATATTCTTCCAACAAAAGGCCAATGTATTAATTAGACAAAGACTTAAAAATGAAAGGCTGAATTTTACTTTAAGTTTAAAAAAGAGGGAAAATGACATAACACCAAGGGAAAGTGAATGTGCACATGGTTCATTGAGCACTGTCTGCACACATTCAAAGAATAATAAATGTAAAGTTTTTGAGTCGGCATAAACCCTGTTTACACATTATTATAATGGTTTGTTGAAGGCCAATAAATTGAATAAGTTTTAACGTGCATATCACAAAAAACATTTCTATTTATTCGTTGAAAAAACCATTAGTCAATCTTGATCGCGCCGTAGATTCGCCGAACAAAGAGGTGGCTGGCTACAAAGCCAGTGGCACCCGTTAGAACAAAGAACAGGAAGCAAGCAACAGCCATCCAGCCAAAGTAAATGACGAGTGACGCGTACGAGGCCAGACGCAGTCGAGAGAAATAAAACAGCACGCCATACAAGAATACATAGAACGCAGATGCACCTGCAGTGTACACCGAGCGCCAGTGCCACCTGTAGTCCTCTGCGCACAAGTGAAAGTATGTCAGAAGCACAGTGACCTCGGCGGTCGTGAGAATCAGGATGATGAAGACGAGGAACAAAAACCCAAACACATAATACACCTTGTGGAACCAGATGCTGTTCATGATAAAGTACAGCTCGATGAAAATGGCACCAAAGGTTAGCACGCCGCCCATCAGCGCCGAAGGGATGGGCCGGAGGTACCAGGGCTGCTCGGGGATTTGCCGCGGGATCTGGTTGACGCGCACGGGCGGGTCAAATGTCTTGCGTTTGTAGCCAAAATAGCCGCCGGCAACGGTCAATGGGATCGAAATTATAAACCACAATGCAATCACGCCAAGTAGCGTTCCAGCGGGAGCGGCCGCCGACGAGTTGGCTACCACCAGGCACAAGTTGATGACAATTAGTATGGTGCAGCACACCCCCGGAATGCACATGGCCGTGAGCAAAATGATTTGGCGCAGGGAAGTGCCGCCAAAGGAATGGTACAGGTGCGCCGCGTTGTAGCCGGCGGAAAAGCCAAAGATAATGTACAGCATCAGCATGGCGGTGCTCAGCGACCCGCGGCTAGAGGGCGAGAGGAAGCCCAGCAGTGCAATGACAAGGGTTATCAAAGCCATCCAGAACAGCTGATAGCCGCTGCCTACAATAACAGCCAAATAATGGAAGTTCTGTGGCGGACGGAACACATCTCCGTGTACGAGCTTCCATCCAAAATCTTCCTGTAGGTCTTCGGCATCGTCGGCATTGTACCGGGCAATGTCCTTGTACAAGGTGCGCGCCAGTATAAGGCCAAGCATCGCGCTGAGGAAAATCACGATGACCAGCGAGTTGATCAGGCTGAACCAATGTATCTTCGGGTCCATGGCATGGAGATAGTCGTCCCAGCGAGTGGCCCACGATTTGTCAGATTTTTCCCATCTGACCGAGTATGTGAATACAACCTGGTTGTCCTTGCCCTCGTGCAGGTTCATGGGCTCTATGGTATCACACGATGGTGTTGTGTCCTTCGAGTACACAGAATGCTTGCTCTGGGGCGTGACGACAACACCGACAACACGATGATGGACGCTGTCCACTGTGTGGTACTGAACAGCAATATCGTAGTGGTTATGGAAGTGCGGCACCAATTGACCCGACACAGCTGAACCAAGCTCAAAACCAACCGAATAAAACTCCTTATTCGTGCGGTCCTCAACCTTGACGGTTGCCGCGGGCAGACCATCAATCAACCAGTTGTAATTATAGCCCTTCATAATCTTGTCGTTGATAAATGCGGCATCATCTCCGGGAATGGTTTGCACACACAGCATCTGGCACGAGCTGTCCCTGAGCATCTCCAAGTTGAACACGGAGCCAAAAATGCGATCTCCAAAGAGAATGCTGCCCAGTGATTCATGCGCAGCCGTTGGCCCGCCCTGGGGGCGGCAAAAGTGGAACCGCTCGTCGTAGTAGTTGTACGACAGCACAGACTCGAGCTTGTTGTCCGCATTGAGCGAGGGCGTCAGCGAATTTACCTGTAAATCGACCTTTTCGCCAATCTTGTAGTCGTGCGGCGCAATTCCGGGGAGATAAAATGCGTCTGTTTGCTGCGAGAGCATAACCAGGCTGCCGGCCAGCGAAAGCGCTGCCGCGCGCCAAAACTCAGACAACCGACTGAGTCTCATCTACGGTGAATTTGCGTCCGTGTAAAGATGTTACAGAGTATTATGGCCGAACTTGTAAAATAAGCAATAATCAAAGTAATAAAACGATAAAATGGAGAATAAAACCCGACGGTCAATTAATACAAAAAATAAAATGTGCAGTACATAAAAGAGAATTGAAAGAAACAAAAACTGACGTTTGCTTTTTTGAAACGAGGGACGAGCCAACCAAAACCGCGAAATGAAAACGCCGAGTTTTTGCATAAAAATCACACTAACAAATCCCCAACCTGCAGGGTGATTTTTAGGATTGTGTTTACGCACTTAGCTTTTTATATTTTGTTAAAGGTAATGGCGTTAAAACCTCTCGCCAAGGGTAGGACAAAAGTAGCACACACATGAGATACTCAACCATTTGCCAGCAGACCCCTCTAACCAAACAAACATTCCTATCTGCGCTGCTGTTGTTATCTAGTATTTTTTGTCATCATAGGTTAAGGATGGCAAAAAGGCGACATTAGGCATATGGAAGTGGAATCGTAGCATGGCTGCAGTGTTTAACTTTCGCACAATCCTCAATGCTCTGCTTACAGGCAAGCGGCCTCCCCGTTTTTACGCAAAAAGGCACTGTTCGGGCCAGATGAACCTGAGTTTACAGTGACGCCCGAAACTTTGACCGAGACTTTGCCCAAGCCAAAGTCCAGTCCCAAGCTTCTCTTTGCAAGAAGCAGCGCAATGATTAATATCTTCAACCATAGTGGGGGTATTCGTTGCCTCTAGTTTCTAAACATGTGTTAGGCTGCTATGCAATCTGTGGAAAGGATGTTGATTTGCAGGATATTTGAATTTTTCTAGATATTTGTAGTCTTATTATTTTCTTCAGTGAAAGGGTATTAAATTCTTTTATCTATTCTGATCATATTTCCGAATTGAAAAACATTATTATAACTGGCCACTAACTGGAGCATATATCGTGTTGGTTGTGCGTAATGTACCCGCTCTACAATCCAAAAATCTCACGCCGTATCTTCTCATACTCGCGTTGCTTCTCGATGAGCGACTCAGCCTGCTGCTGACTAGTAGTGGCCGCCGATTGCTCGCCACCAGCAGGGAGTTGTCCCTTTTTTGTATCTGACTGCGATGGGCGAGCAAGCACCTTGATGGGTGGCCGAGATGGCTTCTGCTCATGCTTTACAGCAGCGGCCTCGCAGCGCTCATACCCACAATCAAATGGCTGCCACAGGGTGCGATTGGATACCGCTCCGCCTCTGTTCATGCGCGCTCTACTTGTTGGCGAGGTGGCAGTGACTTGTGTCGCAGGCCTTTCGTCGACAATCAGCTGTGGCGGCGAGCTCGTCCGCTTGCTGTTAGCCAGGGCAGTAAGTGCTGATGTCCAGCTGTCAGACCCATTGCTTCCCTCCTCCATCGCGTGTTATTGGTATCAAGGTAGTGATGTACAAAACAACCCTTGATTTAAAGAAGAAAAATAAGAAAAAAGCAAGAAAAAACAGAGTGTAGGGGTAAAGTACAGGCTAAATAGGCATATTATATACTACAGTACGGCTATTTGTTATGATACCTAATATGTTCGCTTTATTTGAAGGCTAGTTATAACGACGATGGTAGCCCATTGATAAAGTTGAAATGATTTAAACAAAGAATATTATTAGCTGAATCGCAAGCGGAAAAAAGGGAGCCAGCTGGAACTCGGAGAGTATCACATCACGTTGATCGCCTAAACATTATGGTGTAAATACGCATGAAAAAGGGTGCGCCGGAGTTCCGAGCATTTGCTTTGCTAATGTTTTTTACACCAATTCTCAGGTATTTTAGATAAAAACAATTGTTTAAATTGAAAAAGTCAGCAGGAAATTTGTTTGCAGATGAGGGAGGACGCAATGCAGCATGGTGGAACAGGGCATACGAAAAGAAAGATATGTTTGTAAAAAAGAACAGAAGGCATTTGATATTGCACTGGGCCTTTTGCATAAGAAAATATGTAAACACACGCACATACAAATGACACTTGTTGCCACAATGGGGACACGCAACAAAATATATTTGTCAACTTGAAAACCCCTTGCATAATAATAAAATACATTAATTTTTGTCTGCGCAAAAAATAGCCAAAAATATTTATCAATGAAATACATAGTTCTTCGTCTTTTATTTCTACTTTTAATTATTTTATAAACCAAAATAATATAATCTTAATTTCTTTTATTTATACGCGTTTTTTTGCTTGTTTTTGTTTGTTTGGTTTTTTTCGTATCTATTGTACTTTTTTTAGTTAAAGTTTAAACATTTGACATAAGGATATCAGGATATTGCGCAATTTTATTTTGGTATTCTCGAGCTATCAGCACTTCCAGAGCATTCTGTACTGCAGAGACCTATTGAACAAGTGTTTGCTTGCTTATCATATATCAATCCCACCACTTTCTTATTGAAACGCTTTTGTTAGTCTCACTTGTTTGTCCTTTATATTTTTCACTCGACAACACATTACCAACAGCAAATTGCGTTTATAAACGCTAACTAAAAAAGAACATTGAATAAAAAAAGACACTTACATGTAAGTATTATAAAATGGTCATTTTTTGGCCACCTGCCACCTGCCTTCTGCCACGTACATCTAGCCATCCAGTTTTATACATATATTGTGCGTATTGTCCACCTGATCAACTCTGCACATAAATGTTATTTGTGTGGCCGATAAAATGTATTATTTTACTATCTTTTGTCAATCGTTTATCGAGCACGCACAAATCAACTCTAAATATGCACAATATCGAAAATATTTTTCTCATGGGTCTGTATTTTTTTATAAAATGATAGCATATGTGTTGGTATCAGCTATTTGTAAAGTCAAATAAAGTATTTTGTTTATTGAATCCGCTCTAATTGTCAGATACGTCAACACATTTCCGGTGCTCTCTGCTTTATTTGTTGCTTTAACTCGGTCAAAACAATGTATGCTAAATGCATGTGCATTTTGCTTGCATTATTTATCTCCAAGAAATAAAAATCACTAACAAAAATACATGCCCAATATTGCTCTCAGGCAACATTATTATTTTTTGGCCCATTTGCATCTGCTCAATATCAAATTAAAAACTTTCATTATAATCAATATAGGACCAAACTTGAAAAATCAAATTTCTGTTGTTTCGTTTTTTTTCTCATTTGTATTTTAAAAA